GGAGTAACATAAATCATAACGACAAACTACCTTCCATAATGACAAGGCTACCATCCATTGGAGTAACAAAAATCTCGACAAGAGACTACCTTCCATAATGAGAAGGCTACCATCCATTGGAGTAACAAAAATCTCGACAACAAACTAACTTCCATAATGACAAGGCTGCCATCCATTGGAGTAACAAAAATATCGACTATAGAGTACCTTCCATAACGACAAAGCTACCATCAATTGGAGTAAGAAAAATCTCGACAACAGACTACCTTCCATTATGACAAGGCTACAATCCATTGGAATAAAAAAATCGCGACAACAGACTACCTTCCATAATGACAAGGTTACCATCCATTAGAATAACAAAAATCACGACATCAGACTACTTTCCATAATGACAAGGCTACCATCCAACGAAATAACAAAGTTCTCGACAACAGACTACCTTCCATAATGTCAAGGCTACAATCCATTCGAGTAAAAAAAATATCGACAACAAACTACCTTCTGTAATGACAAGGCTACCATTCATTGGAGTAACAAAAATCTAAACAAAAGACTACCTTCCATAATGACAAGGCTACCATCCATTGGAGTAACATAAATCATAACGACAGACTACCTTCCATAATGACAAGACTACCATCCATTGGAGTAACACAAATATCGATAATAGACTACCTTCCATAATGACAAGGCTACCATCCATTGGAGTAATTAAAATCTCGACAACAGACTACCTTCCATAATGACAATGCTACCATTCGTTGGAGTAACAAAAATATCGAAAACAGAGTACCTTCCATAATGACAAGGCTACCATCCATTGGATTAACAAAAATCTCTACAATAGAGTACCTTCCATAATGACAAGGATACAATCCATTGGAATAAAAAAATCGCGACAACAGACTACCTTCCATAATGATAAGGTTACCATCCATTAGAATAACAAAAATCTCGACATCCGACTACTTTCCATAATGACAAGGCTACCATCAAACAAAATAACAAAGTTCACGACAACAGACTACCTTCCATAATGTCAAGGCTACCATCCATTCGAGTAAAAAAAATATCGATAACAAACTACCTTCCATAATGACAAGGCTACCACCCATTGGAGTAAAAAAGATATCTATATTATACTACCTTCCATAATGATGAGTCTACCATCCATTGGAGTAACAAAAATATCGACAATAGACTACCTTCTATAATGACAACGCTACCATTAATTGGAGTAACAAAAATCTGAACAAAAGACTACCTTCCATAATGACAAGGCTACCATCCATTGGAGTAACAGAAATCATAACGGTAGACTACTTTCCATAATGACAAGACTACCATCCATTGGAGTAACAAAAATCTCGACAACAGACTACCTTCCATAATGACAACGCTACCATCGATTGGAGTAACAAAAATCTCGACAATAGACTACCTTCCATAATGACAAGGCTACTATCTGTTGGAGTAACAAAAATATCGAAAACAGAGTACCTTCCATAATGACAAGGCTACCATCCATTGGAGTAAAAAAAATCTCGACAACAGACTAGCTTCCATAATGACAATGTTACCATCTATTGGAGTAATAAAAATATCAACAATGGACTAACTTCCAGAATGACAAGGCTACCATCCATTGTAATAAAAAAATCACGATAATAGACTACCTTCCATAATGACAAGGCTACCATCCATTGGAGTAACAAAAATCTCGACAAGAGACTACCTTCCATAATGAGAAGGCTACCATCCATTGGAGTAACAAAAATCTCGACAACAAACTAACTTCCATAATGACAAGGCTGCCATCCATTGGAGTAACAAAAATATCGACTATAGAGTACCTTCCATAACGACAAAGCTACCATCAATTGGAGTAAGAAAAATCTCGACAACAGACTACCTTCCATTATGACAAGGCTACAATCCATTGGAATAAAAAAATCGCGACAACAGACTACCTTCCATAATGACAAGGTTACCATCCATTAGAATAACAAAAATCACGACATCAGACTACTTTCCATAATGACAAGGCTACCATCCAACGAAATAACAAAGTTCTCGACAACAGACTACCTTCCATAATGTAAAGGCTACAATCCATTCGAGTAAAAAAAATATCGACAACAAACTACCTTCTGTAATGACAAGGCTACCATTCATTGGAGTAACAAAAATCTAAACAAAAGACTACCTTCCATAATGACAAGGCTACCATCGATTGGAGTAACATAAATCATAACGACAGACTACCTTCCATAATGACAAGACTACCATCCATTGGAGTAACAAAAATATCGACAATAGACTACCTTCCATAATGACAAGGCTACCATCCATTGGAGTAATTAAAATCTCGACAACAGACTACCTTCCATAATGACAATGCTACCATTCGTTGGAGTAACAAAAATATCGAAAACAGAGTACCTTCCATAATGACAAGGCTACCATCCATTGGATTAACAAAAATCTCTACAATAGAGTACCTTCCATAATGACAAGGATACAATCCATTGGAATAAAAAAATCGCGACAACAGACTACCTTCCATAATGATAAGGTTACCATCCATTAGAATAACAAAAATCTCGACATCCGACAACTTTCCATAATGACAAGGCTACCATCCAACAAAATAACAAAGTTCTCGACAACAGACTACCTTCCATAATGTCAAGGCTACCATCCATTCGAGTAAAAAAAATATCGATAACAAACTACCTTCCATAATGACAAGGCTACCACCCATTGGAGTAAAAAAGATATCTATATTATACTACCTTCCATAATGATGAGTCTACCATCCATTGGAGTAACAAAAATATCGACAATAGACTACCTTCTATAATGACAACGCTACCATTAATTGGAGTAACAAAAATCTGAACAAAAGACTACCTTCCATAATGACAAGGCTACCATCCATTGGAGTAACAGAAATCATAACGGTAGACTACTTTCCATAATGACAAGACTACCATCCATTGGAGTAACAAAAATCTCGACAACAGACTACCTTCCATAATGACAAGGCTACCATCGATTGGAGTAACAAAAATCTCGACAATAGACTACCTTCCATAATGACAAGGCTACTATCTGTTGGAGTAACAAAAATATCGAAAACAGAGTACCTTCCATAATGACAAGGCTACCATCCATTGGAGTAAAAAAAATCTCGACAACAGACTAGCTTCCATAATGACAATGTTACCATCTATTGGAGTAATAAAAATATCAACAATGGACTAACTTCCAGAATGACAAGGCTACCATCCATTGTAATAAAAAAATCACGATAATCGACTACCTTCCATAATGACAAGGCTACCATCCATTGGAATAACAAAATCTCGACAACAGACTACCTTCTATAATGACAAGGTTACCATCAATTACAATAACAAAAATCTCGACGGTAGACTACTTTCCATAATGACAAGGCTACCATCCATTGGACTAATAAATATCTCAATGACAAACTACCTTCCATAATGTCAAGGCTACCATCCATTGGAGTAAAAAAAATATCGACAACAAACTACCTTCCATAATGACAAGGCTACCACCCATTGGAGTAAAAAAGATATCTATATTATACTACCTTCCATAATGATAAGGCTACCATCCATCGGAGTAACTAAAATATCGACAACAGACTACCTTCTGTAATGACAAGGCTACCATTCATTGAAGTAACAAAAATCTAAACAAAAGACTACCTTCCATAATGACAAGGCTACCATCCATTGGAGTAACATAAATCATAACGACAGACTACCTTCCATAATGACAAGACTACCATCCATTGGAGTAACAAAAATATCGACAACAAACTACCTTCCATAATGACAAGGCTACCATCCATTGGAGTAATAAAAATCTCGACAACAGACTACCTTCCATAATGACAAGGCTACCATTCGTTGGAGTAACAAAAATATCGAAAACATAGTACCTTCCATAATGACAAGGCTACCATCCATTAGATTAACAAAAATCTTTACAATAGAGTACCTTCCATAATGACAAGGATACAATCCATCAAAGTAACAAAAGTATTGACAACAGACAATGTCCCATAATGACAAGGCTACCATCCATTCGAGTAAGAAAAATATCGAAAATAGACTACCTTCCATAATGACAAGGCTACCATCCATTGGAGTAACAAAAATCTCGACAATAGACTACCTTCCAAAATGACAAGGGTACCATACACTAGAATAACAAAAATCCTGACATTAGACTACCTTCCATAATGAAAAGGTTACCATCCAATGGAATAACAAAAATCTCGACAACATAATACCTTCCATGATGACAAGGCTACCATCCATTGGATTAACAAAAATCTGAACAACAGACTAGCTTCTATAATGACAAGGCTACCACACATTGGAGTAACAGATATCTAAACAAAAAACTACCTTCCATAATGACAAGGCTACCATCCATTGGAGTAACAAAAATATCGATAACAGACTACCTTCCATTATGAAAAGGATACCATCCATTGGAGTAACAAAAATCTCGACAACAAACTTGCTTCCATAATGACAAGGCTACCACACATTGGAGTAACAAATATCTCAACGACAAACTACCTTCCATAATTACACTAGTGCATAAATGACTTTTTACATCAGGTGAAACTGACTTTTTACATCGGTTTTGGGTCCAATGTAAAGTCAGGTGATATAGTAAATCAAGTACTTTTTACATCGGTTCTGGGTCGGATGTAAAAAGTCCCTTTTTTACATCGGTTATAATATAAGAATGATATAAGAAACAATTATGACAATATTTTAAAAAAATTAATCCAATTTTTTCATCGGTTGGAAGTAATAACCGATGTAAAAAGTCACTTTTTTACATTGGTTATAATATAAGAATGATGTAAGAAACTGTTATGACATTATTTTAAAAAAATTAATCCAATTTTTACATCGGTTGGAAGTAATAACCGATGTAAAAAGTCCCTAGTGACGCAATTTTTTACATCGGAAGTGGTATGGTACTTCATCTCCATACGGACCCTCAATGAAAGTTGTTACCACAGTATTAGGCTTAACAGATAAATCCTCTGGTGCATCAACATTAGTGATTCTTTCTCTTAATCTCCCAGTACATTTTCCTAGAACCTTTATGAGAACGGAAATGTGATTATTTCCATCCAAAGGGCTAGAAGAAACACTGAATGGATGCCACTGCAGCCACGATAGTTCCCGAACTTGAAGGAAAATGAAGCTTAGTGAATTGTATCTCAAATCTACAATTTTCAAATAAAATATATTGTCACTGATATGGAAATAATGGTACACAAATTTTATCATAAAAAATGCTATGAGAAGTATAATTACTTTGAGGTTTTGATAGAACCATTTCCACAGTACCGCACGACAGGCACCTCGACGAGATAACATTAACTGTCCTTCTTGAATGGCAGAACCTCAGGAATTGGTCGAGCACAAATAGAAGTTTCTCTTGGTTCTGCATAGCTTTTCTGGATTCCTCGGCAATTGCAATTTCGTCTTTAGCATCATCTGTTTCAGCTGCTGCCAAAGCTTCACGCTCCTCTTCTTCCACTGCAGCCTGAACTCGCTCAAGAAACCTGTCATCCTCCTCTGGGAGAAAATGGCCTGCATGATTTGTGAATAACCATAATCACTTCAATCCAGAATAAAATTAAATTTTCATTAATGAATATTATAAGCTTCTGCATACTCAAATTGTAAACAAACTAAAGTTTTATAAGATATTTCTTGTGAAGATATTGAAAACATATTGTAAGCATTTATAAACTTCTGCATACCATAATCACTTCAATTCATAATAACAATAAAATTTGGTGAAGATATTTACTATTTATAAGATGATTAGTTATTCAGCCATAATGAGAAAATGCCAAATAACAGAGCTTGAACTCAAATATGCACATCCAAAAATTTGATCAACCAATGCAGAAGGATTATGAATTTAAATTAACAAAATAATAAATGAAGTTCAAAAGATATATGTGCTAACATGGGAAGAGAAAACAAAACCAAGCATATCAGTAAAAAATTGGCTAAATAACATGCTATATAATCAAAATACAACTAACTAGAATCATAGTGATTTTCTTATATTAATACCTTGTTTTTTTAACTTTTGTATCCTTATGGAGCGTAATTCTTGAAGTTTCTCCACCACCAAGAGCAGCTCCAGCTGTGATATAACACGATGCAAGAGAATAAGACATACCCAAGATGATAAAAAATAAATTTTCATGACTGACATCGACTAAATAAATGTCTATCTAAAGAAGAAAGGTGTGCTTAACAACCTGCATGATATAGGTAGTTAATGAAGACGTGATAAATCCTTAATGTAGATAAAACAGAATGTATGATTGAGTTCTTCGAAGTTAATGGAAACCATAAAATAGAACTGATTACATGCTTAATAGTCATTTGTACAAAAATTTACATGAGACTCTAGTTTCTTCTTCTCTTCTTTGACTTTAAGCTTTGCAATTTCTTTCATCTTTTTGACCTGCATATAGACATGTTTCCAACATTAAAAAGACTTGTTACGCAAACTGCTTTAACTGCTAAATGGATAACATATCTGTAAACAGAACCCTGAACACAACAAATAAGTACTGCCCTTCCCCCTTTTTTTCTATAGACAGAATAGATAGAACAATGAAGAAAAGTTAGAAATAAATACGAAAATGGGCAAAACAAATAATTTGAAGTAATATGTAGAGATGTATTTTTGTAACTATAGTGAACTAAAAGCCTTACATTCAGCTCCACCCTTTATCACGAATCGTATACGCATATAAAATAGTAATAATAATAATAAACGAGAAGTTTAGCATAATTGTCTTGAGGACAAATCACGGAAAATGTCAGAGATAGTAGTTTTATATCAGATTTTGAAAACTTTGGTTGAGTTAAAATTGAGCATGATGTTGAGAAGAACTTAATACCTATGCCCAAAACAAATATCAATTCCAGTCATTATGAATGTTCGCATAGATTGCAAATACTTTAATACCTTGTTATCTTCAATTTCCTTGGCAATCTCCATAGCCCTCCATTCATCAGCTTCCTGGTCAATTTGGGCGAACCACTCGTGGTCCTAGAGTTTTAAATAAAGAAACCAAAAAAATCTATCAGTTATAAACAATAGCAATAACAAACAGGATAGAAAAAAGACTCAAAGACACAAGACAAGGCAAGGCGAAGTAACCTTTGCCATTATTTCCGCAATACGCTTCCTTTTTTTCTTCCTCCAGAGTTGATTCCGTTTAGACTTATGCACTTTACTTGTAAACCTTGCCACTGCTGATTTCTCTTCCCATGGACTTGCTTCATCTACAACATATCTACATGGCTCCAGCAGCGCTCTTAGTTTTAACATCAAAGCATTCGTCGTTTCAATAGCTAATGCTTCTTAGGTTTCTACACTAACCCCTCTGTCCTCTAAACACTTTAGAAAACTCAAAAGGTAAGTTCCGTTTGAGCCATGAGTTAAACCCTCTAAAGACCCTCCACGGTCTCTTATCATTTTCAACATCTCTAGTTCCTTTTGCCTACAGAAAATACATCAAATCAAACCATCAAATATCACGTGCCAAACACAATGTAGTGAATTGAAACAAGAACAACATACATTCCCTTTACAAGATTTAGCGTATCCTGCAATTCCCAGAACCGACCGCAAACATTTCTGGTCTCCCAAAAGGAACTTGAATTTGGTGGTTTGGGTGGTAATACTGGAAACTGCATAGGTTCAAGAAGTGGTGCAGATTGAAAAGGAACTAAATTCATTGATAGCACAATGTATAGTATAATTCAGGAAGAATACCGAACAAAAAACGAATCGGGGCGCAGAGGGGACTGGCCGCTGGCAGCTACAACGATGAGCATCATTGGCGCGGCTGCCTCAGATATATTTCACGAGAACAACAGTGAATTTTTTTTATAAAAATAAAATTTATAAAAACTGGACGGCAGAAGGAGGAGGAACTGTGAAGAGGAAATGAAAACATATATTACAAAATAGCACGTTACCCCCGGATTCGGCAGGAGTCGTGAAGGGCGTGAATCGGCGGAGAGGAGCCGTGAAGAGCGTGAATCAGCGACGAGGAGACGTGAAGAGCGTGAATCGGCAGCAAGGAGACGTGAAACGGCACCGAGGAGACGTGAAACGGCGGCGAGGAAGAAGTTATACAGTGAGGCGTATGCGTGAACAGGGGCGGCGTATGCGTGAGAGGAAGTTGTACAGTTGAAATAATGTGCATTTAGGAAATAAACTGAATAATATATATAACCTTTTACATCGGTGGAAACAACGGACCGATGTAAGGGTTTGGGCCTTTGCAGTTTTTACATCCGTGGAAAATATGCCCCAATGTAAGTTTTTTAATATATTTTATATATTAACCTTTTACATCGTTTTTTAGTTACCCCGATGTAATATCTTGTTTGTTTTTTATTTACAATTCTGCCACCTTGTTTCTTATTTACAAAAATGCCACCGAATTTTTTTCTGAAAACCTTTTACATCGGTGGATGACATTGCCCGATGTAATAGATAGCGAAAAATATTTTTTTTCTTTTTATATATATCATTGCAAATAAATACCTGATGTAAAATGTTTTTAATGGTATTTTTTACATCATATATTTTGATACCTGATGTAAAAACCTTTTCTCAAATGTCTTTTTTTTAGTAGTGTTACAAGGCTACCATCCATTGGAGTAACAAAAATATCGACAACAAACTACCTTCCATAATGACAAGGATACCATCCATTGGAGTAACAAAAATCTCGACAACAGACTACATTCCATAATGAAAAACGACCATCCTTTGGAATAACAAAAATCATGAAAACAAACTACCTTACATAATCACAAGGGTAGAATCCATTGGAGTAACAAATACATCGACAATAGACTACCTTCCATAATGACAAGGCTACATCCATTAGAGTAAAAAAAATCTCGACAACAAACTAGCTTCCATAAAGACGAGGCTACCATCCATTGGAGTAACTAAAATCTCGACAACAGACTACCTTCCATAATGACAAAGTTACCATCCATTGGAATAAGAAAAATCGCGAAAACAGACTAGCTTCCACAATGACAAGGCTACCACCCAAAGGAATAACAAAAATCTAGACAACAAACTACCTTCCCTAATTACAAGGCTACCATCCATTGTAGTAACTAAAATCTCGACAAGAGACTAGCTTCCATAATGACAAGGCTACCATCCATTGGAGTAACAAAAATATCGACAACTGACTAGCTTCCATAATGACAATGCTACCATCCATTGGAGTAACAAAAATATCAACAACGAACTAACTTCCATAATGACAAGGCTACCATCCATTGTAATAACAAAAATCTCGACAACATACTACCTTCCATAATGACAAGGCTACCATCCATTGGAGTAACAAAAATTTCGACAACAGATTACCTTCCATAATGACAAGGCTACCATCCATTGGAGTAACAAAAATATCGACTACAAAGTACCTTCCATATTGACAAAGTTACTATCCATTGGAGTAACAAACTACCTTCCATAATGACAAGGTTACCATCCATTAGAATAACAAAAACCTGGACATATGACTACCTTCCAAAATGACATGGCTACCATCCAATGGAATAACAAAATTCTCGACAACAGACTACCTTCCATAATGACAAGGCTACCACACATTGAAGTAACATATATCTCAATGACAAACTACCTTCCATAATGACAAGGCTACCATCCATCAGAGTAAAAAAAATATTGACAACAAACTACCTTCCATAATGGCAAGGCTACCACCCATTGGAGTAAAAAAGATATATATATATATATATATATATATATATATATATATATATATATATATATATATATATATATATATATATATATATATATATATATATATATATATATATATATATATATATATATATATATAATATACTACCTTCCATAATGATAAGGCTACCATCAATTGGAGTAACAAAAATAACGACAACAAACTACCTTCCATAATGACAAGGCTACCATCCATTGGAGTATCAAAAATAATAACGACAAACTACCTTCCATAATCACAAGGCTACAATCCATTAGAGTAATACAAATCTCGACAACAGACTACCTTCATTAATGACAAGGCTACCATCCATTGGAGTAACACAAATCTCGACAATAGACTACCTTCCATAATGACAAGGCTACTATTCATTGGAGTAACAAAAATATCGACAACAAAGTAGCTTCCTTAATTACCTGGCTACCATCCATTGGAGTAACAAAAATCTCGACAACAGAGTACCTTCCATAATGACAAGGCTATAATCTATTGGAGTAACAAAATATTGACAAAAGACTACGTCCCATAATGACAAGGCTACCATCCATTAGAGTAACAGAAATCTCGACAACATACTACCTTCCATAATGACAAGGCTGCAATCCATTGGAGTAACAAAAATATTGATAACAGACTACCTTCTAAAATGACAAGGTTACCATACATTGGAATAACAAATATCCAAACATCAGACTACCTTCCATAATTACAAGGCTACCATCCAATGGAATAACAAAAATCTTGAAAACTACGTTCCATAATGACAAGGCTACCATCCATTGGATTAACAAAAATATGAACAACAAACTAGCTTCCATAATGACAAGGCTACAACATATTGGAGTAACAAATATCTCAATGAAAAACTACCTACAATAATGACAAGGCTACCGTCCATTGGAGTAACAACAATATTGACAACAAACTACCTTCCATATTGAAAAGGATACCATCCATTGGAGTAACAAAAATCTTGACAACAAACTACCTTCCATAATGACATGGCTACCACCCATTGGAGTAAAAAAGATATCTATAATATACTATCTTCGATAATGATAAGGCTACCATCAATTGGAGTAACAAAAATAACGACAAAAAACTACCTTCTAGATTGACAAGGGTACCATCCATTGGAGTTACAAAAATCTGAACAAAAGACTACCTTCCATAATTACAAGGCTACCATCCATTGGAGTAACAGAAATCATAACGACAGACTACCTTCCATAATGACAAGGCTATAAACCATTGGAGTAATAAAAATCTCGACAACAGACTACCTTTCATAATGACAAGGCTACCATCCATTGGAGTAACAAAAATATCGACAATAGAGTACCTTCCATAATGATAAGGCTACCATCCATTGGAGTAACAAAAATCTCGACAACAGAGTACCTTCCATAATCACAAGGCTACAATCCATTGGAGTAACAAAAATATTGACAACAGACTACGTCTCATAATGACAAGGATACCATCCATTAGAGTAACAAAAATATCGACAACAGACTACCTTCCATAATGACAAGGCTACAATCCATTGGAGTAACAAAAATATCGATAATAGACTACCTTCCATAATGAAAAGGATACCATACATTGGAGTAACAAAAATCTCGACAACAAACTACCTTCCATAATGACAAGGCTACCACACGTTGGAGTAAAAAAGATATTTATATTATACTACCTTGGATAATGATAAGGCTACCATCAATTGGAGTAACAAAAATAACGGTAACAAACTACCTTCTATAATGACAAGACTACCATCCATTGGAGTTACAAAAATATGAACAAAATACTACCTTCCATAATGACAAGGCTACCATTCATTGGAGTAACAGAAATCATAATGACAGACTACCTTCCATAATGGCAAGGCTATAATCCATTGGAGTAACAAAAATGTCGACAACAGACTACCTTCCATAATGACAAGGCTACCATTCATTGGAGTAACAACAATCTAGACAACAGACTACCTTCCATAGTGACAAGGATACCATCCATTGGAGTAACAAAAATATCGACAACAGACTACCTTCCATAATGACAAGGCTACCATCCATTGGAGTAACAAAAATATCGACAACATAGTACCTTCCATAATGACAAGGCTACCATCCATTGGAGTAACAAAAATCTCGACAACAGAGTACCTTCCATAATGACAAGGCTACAATCCATTGGAGTAACAAAAATATTGACAAAAGACTACGTCCCATAATGACAAGGCTACCATCCATTAGAGTAACAAAAATATCGACAACGGACAACCTTCCATAATGAAAACGCTAAAATCCATTGGAGTAACAAAAATATTGATAACAGACTACCTCAAAAAATGACAAGGTTAACATACATTGGAATATCAAAAATCCAGACATCAGTCTACCTTCCATAATGACAAGGCTACCATCCAATGGAATAACAAAAATCTTGAAAACAACGTTCCATAATGACAAGGCAACCATCCATTGGATTAACAAAAATATGAACAACAGACTAGCTTCCATAATGACAAGGCTACCACACATTGGAGTAACAGATATCTCAACGAAAAAACTACCTTTAATAATGACAAGGCTACCATCCATTGGAGTAACGAAAATATCGACAACAGACTACCTTACATAATGAGAAGGATACCATCCATTGGAGTAACAAAAATCTCGACAACAAACAACCTTCCATAATGACAAGGCTACCACCCATTGAAGTAACGAAAATCTCGACAACAGACTACCTTCCATAATTACAAGGCTACCACCCATTGGAGTAAAAAAGATATCTACAATATACTACCTTCCATAATGATAAGGCTACCATCCATTGGAATAACAAAAATATCGACAACAGACTACCTTCTGTAATGACAAGACTACCATGCATTGGAGTAACAAAAATCTGAACAAAAGA